TTGAACCATGACTGGCTATCAGAGCGGGTTGTCCTCTATAAATTCTTTTGACAAGGGGCATTGAAGAATGGGTGAAACGTGGAAGAAATCTTCTGAATTGAAATGATGGTTTATCATTTATGTATCAAGTTGGAGACGTTAGGTTAAGTTCAATAATTTCAATTGAAGAGTACACGACATGTATCCACGTTTCCACCCATGGTTTCATATATTCCAGGTCCCATCCTTAAATTAACACCACCATCAATCTGCAAGTTTTCACCTATTATTTCGTAAATTCCAGATCTTAACAATTTTTCAGTATAAACACTGCTATTATCAAATTACCCTTGACAAATAAATTAATAATTTACCTTTTTAACCCGTAGAATTAAAAGATAACCATATTACTTTCCATTTATTTCAACGACCTTTTCTTCATCCCTATATCTGCCTCAATCTGCTATTCTTCACCACCATCTCCGTCCCAAAACCATCAAATTAGCAAACCACGACCACCCAAACAAGTGGCAAGAGTTCCCTGGAGTGAAGAAACCCAGTTCAAATATTACACTTGTAGAGATTAACGTCTTGTTTTTGGAAATAGTCTGGCCTGGTGAGATTGTATCAGACCCTTCAGAGAAACGGATTCGAAAAATAGAAACAACAGAAGCAGAAAACCATGTTTTCTTGATTATAATAACCATTTCTTTGCAAATTTGTAGCTGCCAGCTAAATTGGCTTCAATTGTTTCTGTATAATATTACTCTTTCTAATTAAAGTATGACTTTTCAAAAAAAAAAAAAAAAAAAAATCCCCAATAATTATCAAGCAATCTGCTTCTTAAAGTCTACTCATACCACAATATAAATTCCAATAATGTTTGACTAAATGCAGCGTCTCAATTGTCAGCTTTAATTGTTGCCGCAGCGCCTGGAAACCACATATTTGCGTCACTGGAGCGCGGGGCATTGCCCACCAGGGTGTGGGCGGTGGTTAGGTGGGGTGGGGTGTGAGAGGGGGTCAGGGGGCGCCAGAAATCGGCCAAACATTCAACAAGTTAAAAGAAAGATTAGCGTTGGATAAAAAGACTCGAACACCCTTTCACAATTATATCAAACACAATTATATCAAACGGTTTTATAATATAAAGATGGAATCCATAGGTGAAAACTAAGAAATCAAAACTATAATTTTTGTAGTTATACCTCTATTAAGTTATAATCTCTTTATAGTAATAAAATTAATTAATCTCATCATTACAACTATAGAAAAATTTTACCGTATATCAAACGGTTTTATAATATAAAGATATTTCTATTAAGTTATAACTTTTTTATAGTAATAAAATTAGTTAGTCTCACCATTATGACTATAGAAAAGTTTGATTGTATATCAAACCGTTTTATAATATAAAGATAAGAAGAATCCATGGGTGGAAACTTGTAAATTCGGTAAACCTTGGGTGGTGGGTAAATGTCGTTCGCTCACTCATTAGGAAAAAATTTACTTCATCTCCACTATAAATGAGGGTGGGCATGCACGGTAGCAATGGAGCTTCACATCACTGAGATTGAAAGACAAAAAAATTAGTCATGAAGGAATACAGAAGCCACGTAATTTTGGTTCCATATCCAAGCCAAGGCCATATAAATCCTCTTCTTCAATTTGCAAAACGTTTGGTCTCTAAAGGCTTGAAGGCTACATTAGCCACCACCCAGTACACCGTCAAGTCCATTTGTGCACCGCAAGTCCAAGTTGAGCCCATCTCCGATGGTTTCGATGAAGGTGGGTTTGCTCAAGCTAAAAACGAGGACTTTTTCCTGAAGTCTTTTGCTACAAATGGCTCAAAAACTTTGTCTCAACTCATTAAAAAATATGAAAACTCTACTACCCCTGTTACTTGCATTGTGTATGACTCGTTTCTGCCTTGGGCTCTTGATGTTGCCAAGCAACATGGCTTGTATGGAGCTGCGTTCTTTACGAATTCAGCTACTGTTTGCGCCATTTTCTGTCGTATACACCATGGCTTATTGACTCTACCTGTAAAGCCGGAAGACACTCCGTTGTCGATACCCGGGTTGCCTCCGTTTAACTTCTCTGACTTGCCCACTTTTGTAAGGTTTCCAGAAAGTTACCCGGCGTATTTAACCATGAAACTCAGTCAGTTCTCGAACTTGGAGAAGGCTGATTGGATATTGTGTAATACTTTTGAAGAATTAGAATGCCAGGTATCATTTTTAACTCATAAATCATATTAAATTTTGTATACGGTTGAAATCTGATAGTGTTTGTTTTTATATTTTAAAATGAACAGGAGGCGAGAAGCGTATCAGATCTATGGCCGGGAAAGTTGATAGGTCCGATGGTGCCATCGGCATACTTGGACGGGCGGATCAAAGGTGACAGAGGATATGGATCGAGTCTGTGGAAGCCGTTTAGAGTAGAGTGCATTGAGTGGCTGGAAACAAAGCCAAAGCAATCAGTGGTGTACATCTCTTTTGGCAGCATGGTCTCACTGACAACAAAACAGATGGAAGAGATTGCTTTGGGATTGAAAGAAAGCAATTTGTATTTCCTTTGGGTCATCAGAGAATCCCAATCTGACAAAATGCCAGATGGGTTCACAGAGTCCACAAAAGAAAAGGGTCTAGTCGTGACATGGTGCAACCAACTGGAAGTGTTGGCACACGAAGCAGTGGGTTGCTTCGTGACACATTGCGGGTGGAACTCGACGCTTGAAGGGCTGAGCCTCGGCGTGCCAATGGTGGGCATGCCGCAATGGGCTGATCAGCTGCCTGACGCCAAGTATGTGGAGGAAAATTGGGAGGTGGGAGTTAGAGCTAAGGAGGATGAAAAAGGGATAGTGAGGAAAGAAGAATTTGTCAAGTGTTTGAAGGAAGTGATGGAAGGGGAGAGAAGCGAAGCAATTAAGAGGAATGCTAGTAAGTGGAAGAAGTCGGCAGAAGAAGCCATTAGCGAAGGAGGGAGCTCTGATAAGAACATCAATGAATTTGTGGAGAGTTTGATGCATTCAAATGGGAAAGCAAAGTAATTGGACAGCCATGAGGTGTAATACAATTTGATTAATGCCTCTGTAGTAAGCTAGTATTATCCCAGAAATAAAACCCCATTTGTGTCATAATGTATAGCCATTTATTTTCTTGATTGTTCTATTTTTATATTAGAGAATCCAATGATTTAAGGGGGAATTTGTGTATAGAACTAAGAACATTCTTACTTCATTTTAAATTGATTGGCAATTTATTACCCCATATTTCCATTTGCGGTGTTGTTTTCTGTTGCTCTTATTTTAATCACTTTGTGTTTGTGAGAAAATCTTAAGAATAAATAATAATATACCTTTTCTTTCCAGTGAATAATATTTAACAATGCTAGTTAATGGTAACAAAAAGTATTAGGTTTACCCTGTTCTCTAGAGGCAGTATTTTTCAAGTGTCTAGAACTTGAATAACAAACATGAATAATACCATATGTACAGCTAGAAAGCCATGGACTAAAAACATTTATATTTGCACACAACAAAGCTGACATTTTGAGAAGAAAAGTTTTACTATCATACGTAAGTGAAGTGCGTCTACTCCTAATCAGGTGTCAAATTGTGTATGGTGCTGTATGTCAATAACCTAATTTTTCGGCATTATAGTGTAAGATACCTCTTTTTCAAAAAATTAATAAAATATTAAATTTTTTCTCATCCCCATTATTAATTAATAAATTTTGTGGTATTGTTGACTTTAAATTATAGTATTACATAATCAAAATTAATCACAAAATTAAGAATTTATATCATTTCCTCTCAATTATTCATATCATTTCCAAGGTCAATGTCAATATCTATATCTCTACTTGTGTTATTATTATCATGCAAAATAGGTAATACATCTTCTTTTTCACTTTCTCTTTGCAAAATAAGTAAATTTGGGTAGATTTTAGTAAACCGGGTTGGGTGACCCGAATCCAACCCAAAAAATTTTTTGAACCTTTGGGTCAAATTAATAAAGTTGTATTGATTTGTATCGATATTTTTAAGGATATGAATAGATACATATCTATCGCATGATACATATCAACGTATTGAAAAGTTTATGATATACTCTCTAATACATATCGTTGACAATCTCTATCGAATCGTATCGTATTGTATGATACGTATTACATATCGTAGGATACTAATAACCATGCTCTTAATCTGTTATTTAAAACACATTGTAATATTTAGATAAAAATTAAAGAGTCCTGGATAACTAAAACTCATCAGAATGTAATTCACCTAATATATTATAAACATTCAAATCATGAAATATTGATCCAATTCCAATCTTATCTAAAGTTGAATTGTATCAGATTTCACCTCTCTCAAATTCCAAACAGGACATCAATAAGTATACTACAATTGGAGGCTGAAACAGCCACAGAATTTCATGGTCTGATTTCACACTAACATCGCCATCTCAGTCACTCATCCTTACGTCTTCTAAATTAAACTATACTCTCATCAATCAGCTTCCAGCAGCTTCTAGATTATAAAACACCATTCTTCAAGCGTCTACTAACGGCTCAACCTCAATTTCTTCATCTCTAGACCCACAGGATCTGCGCGGTCCCAATGCCAAGATTATCACAGTCCCATCCACTTTCATTTTTATTTGCACATTTCAACCCTAATTATTCCCCCTACAGATTCTTATTGATTTCAACCAAAATAAACTTGTTCATTCATTTGAGGTTCTGTCCTGTGCAATTGAGAGCCAATCTCGGAGATGAGAAAGAAAAAAGGATTGGTTCAGGTAAATTTTGGCTCCTAGCTATGATCAAAATATATGAGAACCACTCGTATGTAATAGTTCAATGATTCTCAGTTTTTCCAGCTAAGGTTGCTACAGCCCACTCAACCAGCACTGAATGAAAGGTTTAGCGTCCAAATATTTGATCACAATTACTTTCAGATGAAAAGAATAAAAAATTTTGGATACGTAGAGGCAGAAAGCACCCAGACAAAAATAAAAGAGGGAAAAGGATAGCGAGCTCTGGTGCCTTTCACTTTCTAGCATGTAAGCATTATGTATCAACTTAACGGAACAAGTACAATATCATTGACATATACATTACTACATGAAAGAAAAACTTGAAAACCCAAGGGATGTATACTCCTTTAAGTACCAAGTTCCTTAAACTGTCACCATTTCAACAGTTGATGTGCCTCTAACTTTGCTGGAACCTGCTAAAATATGAAAAGCTACATCTCAGTTCAAATTTATTATAGTAACCAATATGTACTGCTCCACTTGACACAAAAATCAATAAGACAGTAATTTTCAACTATTGACTACAAAAAATTTGATCCATTTAAAATGCTGCTTTCACACTGTTTTAAGATTTAAGACTTAAAATGTAAAATGTTTGGCAGACAATTAAAAGCTTTACCTCTCTTCTTAAGCTTGTTTCGAAAGCTTCTTTTTCGGCTGAATGCTGTTTCCTGAACCCATAAGAAAACAATTCAATGACCAACTGGAAGGCACAGGTCAACAACCAAAATGGGCATGTATGGTAATTGTTAATCACCTAATGCATGATTAATCATTAGTCAAACTTTGTTCTGCACTTAGTGCAGTATGCCATACCTTTGTAGAGGGGAAATTACTACCATAAAAACAAAATCATTTTACATAAATTAGAGAAGTCATTATTTCCCTTTAATATGGTTTAAAAGATTCTCATCAAAACAGGTGATTGGAAACAGCACATTACCACAGGCTGACCCAGTTTTCCTGCTTGACGAATTGCATCAACAAGATCCTGGTTCGATTCAGTGTAAAGGCTAGTGACAAGTCCATATTGACCAGCCCGAGCTGTGCGACCAACCCTATGCAAAAAGTCTACTGCAGAAGTAGCAAAGTCTGCCTGCAGCAAGAACAACAAATTATAGATTTAGCTCCGCTGAAATACAGATTTTGTGGCAAAAGAAGTTTAGCAACAAGAACAGTGTAGAGTTCAGGACTCTCAGAAAAGTTGCTAGTCATTATAATATCACAGATCACACCCCCTAAGAGGGAAAAGATTGGTAAGAGAAACTAGTCCACAATGTTGCATCAGAAAACTTACTGTTTAGGTAATGATACGAAGTGCGTATAAGGTTTTGCATTATTTAAAATAAAAGCTTTAGAGATTTCAGAGGAGACTTGATAGCTTGTAGCAGACATTGATTCTAAGAAGACTAGATTATCATTCTTGGCATCTACATTTTATTTCTTTGGTCTCCCATAACAAAGGAACTTCAGTTCTCATATGACAATCGGTTTTCTTATTCATATTTCTAACTCTATTCCTAAATTGAATTTGCACATTCATTAAGCTTATTTCATTTTTTTTTTATTATCAATTGCATATGTCATTTTCTTTCAAGTTTGGCAGAATGTTTGTCCATTTATCATGAATATACTCTGCATCCAACCAACTCGATAAGAAGATAAGTACCTGAATAACATGTGAAACATTTGGAATGTCGATACCACGTGCAGCAGCATCAGTGCAAACAAATACTCCACCTTTCTCCCGAAAATTAACTAAGTTATTAGCACGTTCCTCTAAAGAGTGGTCCTTATGGTAACGATAACATTCAATCCCAGCAGTTTCTAGTATCTTAGCCACAGCTTCAACAGCCTCAACAGTATTTGCAAATACCATAGTTCGACTTATGTCAGTGCCACAAACAAAGCGTTCTTTCACAGCATTTATGAGTGCATCCACCTGTGTATCCACAGTGACTTCAATCCACTTTTCCTTCAATCTGAAATGGAAAAGAAACAACAGATTACCAACAAAACCAGATCTGTCATACCTTCAGAAGGGGAATGCAAACCATGATGTTATTATATAAGGTTGATAATTGTTCAACCAAGTGTATAAATATGCCATTTGAAAATATGTGACAAGCAGATAAATTGTGAAATAATTCGCAAACAGATTATAAATGTCCAGTAGATGGTCTATGGAGAAACAAGAACAGTAATGTAGCATAAATGATCTGACGCATCTCTTTTTGTCTTAATGTACAGATGCTAAACAAGTTCGCGTTTAAGAACAAAACAAAGTTCAATTTTTTTACAATTATGAATTGGCATGATAATCTTGCTAATGTGAGGCCAATATATTAATGCCTCAGATTTTTATAATGCATAATTAAAGATGTGTTACAAGTGAATCAGTGTATGATTCATGCATTTGAATATTTTCTTTCAATAAGGAAAAGAAAATTTTTTTTTTTTTAAAAAAAATCTAGCAGGAAGACAAATAATCTATCATAAACAACAACTGATGATCATAGTTGAATGGGGCACCTGGGGTTGTGACAATGGAGGTAGTTGCCACTGACCCAAGTGGCACCTGGGAACATATGTTTTAACACTGCCCCAGCAGTTTTCTTTCCGTTAAATGGAAGGGTTGCTGCAACAAATATGTACTGCTTACTGCGCTCATAACTTTTTCTTACTCTCCTCCAATCTTTTTTCTGAATAGACCCAGATTTAGTTTCCTCCGTTAAGTCTCCAACATCAACATCAACATCACTCTCAGAATTTTCCTCCCTCTCTGCAGTATCATCATTTTGCAGATATTGTTCATCTTCTGAGTCAGAGTTTGGCAAAGAATCATTAGTTTTTTTCATTAGCTTTTCTGCTCCAGATTTATTCATTTGAGACAATTGCTTTTCATCAAATCGGAGCATGTTTATGAGACGGATAACTTGATTCTGAAAGCTTCCATTCAAAAGCATATCAGCTTCATCGAATACCTGCCAGGTATTGCAAACAACAAATCAATTAAAGCTTTGTGCTTTCTCTGGTAACCAAAATGAATGACGCAAACGCAAGAAAGATGATGTACCACATATTTCACACCACGAATAAAATCCACGCGACGACCTTTTTTTGGTTCTATATTATTCAAGAGAGCAGCAGGCGTTGACACAATAATATCTGGTTTATCAACTGGCCATCCCTGCAGTTAAATTTCTTGTTTCTGAGTTTCCAATTCTAACAATAAAAAAAAAATGAATCCTTTTGACTTTTCAGAATACATCTCAAGAAATTACAAAATAAACTTGCAACAACACAAACAAGGGATTGTACCTTACCACACTGATGCACAAATACTATCAACATAAAAAATAATTAAAGCATCCAGTACCTGTCGCCCACAGACAGCTGCAACTCTTAGAAGTGGTTCACCATCATCTCCAGAAAGACCATTAGCCATACGAACAACTTGTTCGCATAGCAACACATTTGGGCAAAGAACAAGAGAAAGTCTATGGGAAGGAGCCAATCCTTCATCAGCATTAGTATTCTCTGAACCATCCAGTGCAGCGCATAGTTTATCAATTAAAGGAACCAAGTAGCAATGTGTTTTACCACTACCAGTCTCCGCTGCAATCACCACATCTTTTCCTGATAGTATAGGAGCTATGGAAGAAGCCTAAAATGCAAATGCAAATGTTACATTAACCATCACCAAATCACCTATGAACGAAACTTTAAGAGAAAAAAAGAATAAAAGGAGTGGATAAGATTGCTTTTGCTGGTGAATAGCAACAACACACTCAACGAATGATATTAAATTATTAATTAAATAAATTTGCAAGTACAAAAGTAGATACAACAGGGATGAAAGTGAGGGAACCTGAACAATAGAGGGTCTACCGAAGCCAGAATTTTCAAGAGCACCAGAGAGGCGGTCTGATAAACCTAGAGAATTCCAGGAAACAGCGTCGTCGGCGAAAAACGTGCTGCTTGATCCCTTTTTGTCCGCTACTGCGGTGGCAGCAGTAGAGAATCCCTTAAAAGGTCTGCCGCTTGATTGGTTGAGACAAATGAAGTGGACGCCAGGTGGATAAGAAGAGGATAATACGGAACTGGAGAAAAATGAACTGGAGGTTTTGAATTTGGAGAAGTGTTTAGTAGGCGATGACAATCGATAAAAATGGAGCATTGAAGAGGTACGGTAGAGAATCATTTCTTTGTTTAGATTAAGTGTCTTGCTGGAGAAGAAGATGGGGTTTAGGGTTTAAGCATAAACCCTTGCTGTTAATTTTGACGCAGCAGGTGTAATGCCATTTCTACTTCGTTTTCCATTGTGCAAACGACATGTCGTTTCTCGCATACTTTAAAATGGTGGACATCCCTATTGAGCTAGTTAAAACCCTTGGATCATCACACAATGGTTGACCATGACCAATCTAGGGGATGCTGTTGTCTGGTAAGCTTACCAACTTGGTGATGTAAAAAGACACGTGCGAATGGTGTATGTCATCCAAATCTCTGATCACACATTTATACGTGTCAATAATCCGTTCCTTTTAGAGTTGATACCCTCAAATCTTCAGTACTTCGAATGTACCTGAATATATCCCCTTTTCGGTTATACAAAACTCTGGCTCCTCGTCGAAGAAGTAGAAGGAACTCAATGGCGCCAAAGCCTACCAAAAACAAAACTCCGTCTGTCGACCCCAACGGAATCTTCACCGGAATGTCCGTTTTCCTAGTCGAAAACGGAGTTCAGAACCGTCGATTGCAGGTTTAATAACGTTTGTTAACTTATAATCCGTGCGGTGCTTATGCTGAATTATCTATTTATTACTTAAATGAGTTGTGTGTTTTGGTGATTAAGATTTGGAAGCAGAAGCTGGTGCAAATGGGAGCTACTATTGAGGAGCGTCTATCTAAGAAAGTTACTCATGTTTTTGCTATGGATTTAGAAGCTCTTCTTCAACAAATTGATAGAGAACGCTTAGCTCGCTTTAAAGGAGTCAGTTCCGTTTCTTAATTCTCAATGTTTTATGTCTTAAGCATGTTTAACGTTCTTGTATCATGTAATTCAAGTATTTTCTTTTCACGGTAAAAGGCTTAATGACTATTTTCTTCAGTGCTATTATAGAGATTTAATAGCTCCACTAGAGGTTGATTTGGTTGAGGATGGTTTGTATCACTTACTTTTTGCAGAGAGTTATACATTATCAATGGCTCGAGGAAAGCTTGAGATTAGGGGAAAAAGTCCATGAGGATTTATACATTTTGAAATTGGATTCAGAAGGAGATAATATAGCAGACAAGTCTTTGGATCATAAACATGAAAGTGGAAATGCTACTGGCAATAATGAGCCATCACATTGCAAAAAATTAAAATTATCTAGTGAGGATGTGGAAATCTTCAAAGCAGAAAGCAGGATAGATGTGGAAAGTAATGCTCCCCATGAAACACCAAAAAGTCCCACAAGTTCTGATAGCTTGTCTGAAAATCCAAATTTTGCAAATAGCATTCCTGATTCCTCCGATAGCCATAATCAGGATGTAAGATTTAGTAACTGACAGTTTATGGGAGAATTTATTCTATTGTCCGCATTGTATGCTTTGATATTTTCTCCTTTTAGTATATTATTCTAGACATATAGTAAAATGCTATTATTCTTGCTGATCAAGTTAATCTTTTGCAGCCATCCTTGCCTTACAGTCCTCCTGATTTAAACAAAAATATAACTGAGATATTTGGAAAACTTATCAACATATATAGAGGTGAGACTTGATTTTCTGCTATGAATACATTTTTTTTCTTTATATATACTATGTTGCAAAAAATCTTTTGTTCTTGTTGATGCTTCTTTAAAAGTCTTGATGTTGTGTGTTTAATTTTCTATGAGAAGCATTGGGTGATGATCGAAGGTCATTTAGCTATTATAAGGCTATCCCAGTTGTTGAGAAGTTGCCATTTAAAATTGAGAGTATGGAGCAGGTCAAAGGTCTACCGGGAATTGGGAAGTCAATGCTGGATCATGTATGTGAGCATATGTTAGTTTAAAGGACAATGCTCAGCATTCTTGGCTTGATCAGCTGACTAATCAACTCTTTGTGAATGTAGATTCAGGAGATTATTACTACTGGGAAATTATCAAAGTTGGAGCACTTTGAGACAGATGAAAAGGTACTAGAAAGGTTCTCAGCTAACATGAAGGTCCACAATCATGTAATACTTGATGGATGGATTTCTCATTATACTCTTCTTATCTACTCTCGTAGCATTTGTGGGTCAATTGAATGTGAAGCCTTTTTCTATAGAATTTTGATTCTTTGTTGACTGCAGCTTTGGTTTTTCCAATAATTGAATTTGTAAGGCCCAAGTGTTATTACTTTTCCTCCTTCCAGACTTTCCTTTAGCTTTATGATTCTTTTTATTTACAACTGTGAAGGATAGGAGTGGCCGTTTTATTTTCTATTGATATGTTAGTGCTGCATAGGATGTTTTTTCTGTTTGCTTGCAGTGGTTTTATTTTTTGAATATAGTTCTGCAAGTGAATACTTTGGTGACTGGTGATCCACCAGGAAATTTCGTGGATTGGCTAAAATGTTGACGGTTTCCAGGTAAGGACGATCAGTTTGTTTGGGGAAGTTTGGGGTATTGGTCCAGCCACTGCACTGAAATTATATGAGAAAGGACACCGTACGCTAGATGATTTGAAGAATGAGGATACTTTAACAAATTCACAAAAAATAGGGCTGAAATATTTTGATGATATTAAGACGAGGATTCCACGCCATGAGGTTTGACATTGTGCTTCTTCCTGGACCTTGTTCTTCCACTATTTTGGTTGTTTGTTTCTGGTTGGATATTTCTTTCCTCAGAATTACTTGATGCTGTCTGTGATTACATAGGTTCAAGAGATGGAACTTCTTCTGCAGAAAGTGGGGGAAGATATTTTGCCTGGGGTGAGCACCATAAGTATTGGACTTAAATGAGTAAATTTTGAACTTTAATTGATGGTGTGGATATTCTTCTGCGTGAGACTATTCCTGTAGTTAAGCTTTGCCATTTTAAAGATTCATAAAATCACGTGGTTTTTACAAATCTGAATTTATCTAGGTTGAGTTATTTTAACTTGGATAGCTAGCGACTGCTCAATAGTATATGCTTGTAAGTTAGCATACAACTCACAAAATATATAAGTTCATTGATTTGTTAAGTTGAAGAGATCTGATTAATTTGTTGTTTGCATCTTTGGATTCATGAGTGTAACTCTTATTTTAATTTTTGATACCCAGAATATACTAACATTCTGTTGAATACCTACCCGGAATCACTCACTCAAAACACACCTCACTGCAATCACAATGAATCAACCCTGAAAACAAACACAGGAAATATCAGAAATTATATATATGTATTGATGATGATGAACTTTACACCAATTCAAGATAACCTCGACTCAATCAACATGAACAAGTAAAGAAATAACAAAAACAGGATAACAATAAAGTAACATAGCCTGCTGGACTTCAAGGGCCAGCGACCTCCCCTTTTCACTTTTTCTTCTCTGAATCTCTTCTAATTCTTCTTCTCTCCTTTTTATTCTATTCATTCTCTCTCCCAAACAGAATTCCCAAACAACCATGCTCCTATTGCAACCTGTTTCACACGAATCTCCCTCAAACATACACGTATAAGACCTCTTTTTGCCAAATAACAACAATTAATCCTCTACCCCTTCCTACGCTTCTTATTATAGACCAGTACCTCATGTGTTTCATCACATTCATTATAATTTGTTGTTACCTAATTACATGTAGATAAGGCATTAGCTTTTTTATTTAGGCACAATCCTTCATATAATTGGAACATAAACATGAATATTTGGATTTGGATTTCCAACACGTCTAATATTGTGATATCTGTCTTGAAGGTGATTATTTTATGTGGAGGATCGTATAGGCGTGGAAAGGCTTCCTGTGGAGATCTAGATGTTGTCATTACGCATCCTGATGGAAAAAGGTACTGTATCCATATATCCTGTTTTGATTAGAAAAGAGATTGGGCTGTTGTGCCCCAACTAATTTCTTCTTTCTGGAATACATCTGTTGATATAATGACTGACAGAAAGTGGTATAATATTTCATAATTTAATTTAATTGAAGAGATTTAAGAGTTAAGATTTGCCCGTTCTATCTTTTGCTTCAGATCCTCTGCCCTTAAAACTCAAAGAGGTTATAATGTGTTTGGCAGCCTGCAAGTTCACACAACCTTTCTAGTGTTCTGGAAAAGGTTGTCTGAAAGCCCGTCTTCTGATGCCTGCCAAATGCATAATTACTTTTTCCGTAGAGTACTAGTGTCTACTATTGCTTTCTTCACTCCATCAAGATGCCAATATTACCTTGTGTACAGCAGTTGACATAATTTACTTATATAAGTTCTGTATTTTCTAGTTACTTGACTGGTCTTCCTACTGTCTCTTAGTCATGTTTATGATATTGGTTATGAATGCTGGGTTAATTTGCTCCATACTTCCAGTCATATAGGATTTTTGTCAAGATACGTGAAGCGTTTAAAAGATATGAAGTTCTTGAGAGAGGATTTGGTCTTCACTAATCACAGTGAGGAGGTAACATGATCTTTTTAAATTGTATTATTTCTTTGCTTGAGTTTTACCTTATCAGACACGTTATCATTTCAGATGAAACAAATGAGATGGATAAAAATACAACAGGAAAAACTACCCTAACAGTTACTGTTTCACTTACCTTTTTCCTTGTGTAGAGTATATTCTGAAGGTTCTGAGTCAATTGTTTCTTTTATTAAATATTTAAATGAATAACTTTTTTGTGCATTTACTTATTGAATGGATCAAGTTTGATCCTGCAAAATGTGTGACTTATCCAAAGATCTTGTGGGGGCCATGTTGAAACTATTAATTAAATATATCTCTATATGCTTGGTTTTCCATTTAGTTGGTCGAAGCTAGTAATTTGGTTTAGAAGTGTTCTCCCTCCTTAATGACAACCAGTCGTGCGTCCAAGGTTTTTATTCTTTAGTCAATCGATTAAGGGGTTGCTCAGTCTTTCAATTATCCGAAGTTCAAAAGGCTAGTGTATCTTAAAAGAAAAAAAAAAAAAAAAAAATTGTATTATTTATTCTCAGATTTGAAAATATTCTCTTGCATGCATTGATGGGCAAGAGAACTTGGGACAAGGGTAGACATTAACAAAAAGTTTTCTCTTGACTCCACCTTTTATAATATGTATATATATTTTGGTATAATGTGTCTCCATGCGTTTCATACACGCGATTAGATGCTTTTCACCGTTGACTTTTCAGGGTACGGATTCAGGTGTTGACACTTACTTTGGTCTTTGCACGTATCCAGGACGAGAGCTAAGGCACCGCATAGATTTCAAGGTACCTTAATAGTTTATTAATTTAACTTAAAACAAGTGTGGTGACAGAGTTTCAAGAAAAATTTAGAATAGAGACAGGGTTACTGAGTCAGTTATTTCTTTCTTTTTGTTTGCTGAGGTTGACCTAAATCTCCACAATCATGTGATGGGAAAAGTTTCCCTTGCTTTGTTATTAGTGTTGATATGAAATTATATCTTTCTGGGCTTATTTATTTAGTCATTTGTTGGTGAGATAATTATCAAAGCCGCCATCAATCCTATGCAAGTTGAGGTAAATACCCAGACGTCCCTGGTTTATACCTTACTGACATTCAGGACATAATTGATTTTTCAGTAGCAAAATAATCCCTGTAACTAACGGAGGATAGTAATTTTGTTGGCTGACTGGGCAAAATTTGTGAAAAGACTAAATGCTCCTGTGAAGAAGACAAAAATTTTAAAAGTTTGTGCAGTAGTTTGCTGGTTCCCAACAACTATAATGTGCTTATTTGAAAGCTGCTCATTACCCAAAATCAATTGCACTATTAGTCTATTACAGTTAGGAAAAAAAAAACCCTGAAAAAAATTAGAAAAAGAAATCTAAACCCAGAAAACTCAACACCATTTTACAGCTTTTCCACCTGAGCTTAAACAATACATCAAAAAGCTTGCAAAACAGCACCTAAGTTTTCTTAACACCATCTCCCATCTTCATCTATATCCATCACAAACACCACTTTAAGTATTCTTATTTGTATCAATCAATGAGAGCAATAGAGCAACAGGAAAAACTAAATTAGATAATGTATTCATAGCAAATTAAAATTTGCAGACTCACATCAAGTATTATTTAATAAAACATTAGAAGGTAATACTAGGGAAAAAGTAGAGCCAGAATGCAGATATTATAAACTCCTTGAATCAGCATGGCCTATAGTGAATGAAATTGCAATCATAACAAAAAAACAAAAGGCAAAATATAATGCAAACAGAGGATAGCATAAGGGAGAAAAGGTAATAACCATGTAAAACTTCAGATAAGCTTCCCATAAGCATGTAATCATATACAAAAAATTTATCATCCCTGCCAAAATAATAGGCCCTCAATAGGACCAAATTCTCATAATCCATTGCCCCCACCACCTTCATCTTCTTTCGAAATTTCCTTCTCCATTACCTCACATCCTTCAATCTCTTTATAGCAACCACCAGCACCATTTCCAAAGTTGCCTTTTAAGCTATACCAAGTGTATCTTTCCCTAGCACCTCAACTGATGCCCTTAACAAATCCTCCATATCAAACACCTTCACCCACTTCCTAGAGAACACCAAATTCTTATCCCCACTACTCATTCACTTCCGCTTTCACTGCCCCAGACAAATCAGCACTCGTATCTCATTTCTCACTACTTGTTGTCAGTCTTATTATCACTATTCTTTCTTCTACCAAACATATCAATAAAGCTAAAGTTATTAAAAATCTAATCACCGATCTAACAAAAATCCCAGCAATAGCTCCGCCAATCAATTTATTACCGCTCTTAATACCATTACAAGACACTAACGTTTCCCACAAAGTGTATTACCTTGAAACGCACTTATATCCATTTTACTTAAGAGTTTTGGGATCAACCCATTTAACTCATTAAACGAAACATTGAATTAATTGCTGAAGAGCTGGCAGGATTTGAAAGCTTAGCAAGGTTTTTTATAAGATTTTAAGTAGTCACTGGTTTTGCGCCAGTGAAGAATGGTAGCAGACGAAAATGAAAAGGCTCTTTCTTCTTTTTCTTTTTTATTTATTTTTTCTTCTTTTCAGCTACCATGCACACATGTTGTCCCCTCGTATAAAACTTCTTTTGAAAGATTCACCAGATCCCCAAACTGTTTCTTCTAATATTATAACATCAATATATAAAAGTAAAAGTCTAAATTACCCTTCTCCCGTTAATTTCAAACTAACACAGTGTTGTTTGAGGGACTATTTTGTCAGTGACAAAATTATTGTGTCTTTGACTGGGACCAAAACCATAGGAACTAAAACGTATCTCTCTATGCAAGTTTTTTGTTATGTTAAAAGTTGCAGGTATGCATATGATTCATTACGAAATGTTTTAAATCTCTTTTGTACTCTAGGTATATCCAAGGGACATATATGCATTTGGACTGATAGCATGGACTGGAAATGATGTTCTAAATAGGAGGTATGTTCACATTGCTTACTGAATATCTGCTTAGTGTTAATTATCTTAGCTTTAATCTGGGAATGATGAATACGAGTTATGTTCTTAGCTTGGATAGCTTGTTGAGTTCATGTATGATAATTGAACCAGAACACAGAATCTTTGTAAGCCAGGTTGAACCTATCTGTAGATTGCAGTTTATGGTTTGTGAATTATCTTTGTTTTGTTTTCCTTGATGTGAAATTAGAACTTATCCCATCATGAACCAAGCTATTGAGTAAGCATTTTTCAGCCATAGGCCTGTTGTATAAGTGCAGGTTGAGATTGCTTGCAGAATCCAAAGGATACCGACTTGATGATACTGGGCTTTTTCCAGCTACTCGTGGCTCAGGTGGTAAACATGTAAGTAGTTGGGTCAGCAACTTTCCTGTCTTTAGAACTTCTTTTCACAGGTTATTGAAGATCACTTCTGTGAACTTCAATGCAGGGTGCAAGAGCTAGTGCAAGTCTGAAATTCGAGACTGAGAAAGAGGTGTTTAATTTCCTGGGCTTTCCTTGGCTTGAACCAAATGAAAGAAATTTATGAGGTATATATTAGTTTGTAAGTCATGCTGTACATTGTACATATGCACACATCAAGAGCAGGCTGTACGTAGGACTCTGTCAAAAGACTCCATTTTGCTCATACGGCCATGGAACAACACTTCAGAGTTGCTGATTTTGCGATGCCGATGTTCCCAATGTTTTTGGCTTTGCCTTTTGAGTCTTAAGACTTAATTCTACCCTTCTTGAATGCTTTGTATGAATATTTAATCTGGTGTAAATTATGTCTGAATTTCAAGTCGATAATACTAAAATTCCTTGGTAAATCTTGAATTTAGTAATTGCAAATCTGGAATTGCTATTACAAAATAACTACATCAGTTGGTCTGTCACTGCAAACCGACTCTGGTTTTCTTGGGTTTGTTAGAATTGAATGCAGACTTCTCTAAGTTCACGTATTGTTCCAATTGAATGAAGAGAGTACTTGTAAACTATGGCACAATTTCTTTTTGGGTTTAACGATATGTCACAAATCTTCATGGATATTGAATGTAATTACCATGGTTACGAGTCTTAGTTAGGGCTATACCAATAACTAACTGAAATAGGAAAAATGAAAATGTTTTAACCCATTAGCCCCATATCCCCCCTATTTCAGGCATTTGGTGATGGCTTTCTCACTTGAAGGAAGTAGTGGATAGTTCTTACTTGTTTTGTTTTTTAGATACAGAGAGTGGAGCCTAGGTGGTGAAAACTGGCAGCTTAAGATCTGAGTAACAGCAGAATCAAGTTTATAATTTCTAATGTATGGAATTCTTTCTGTAATGGATGCAGCTGCAATTGCTAGGTGAGCCCATTTCAAACACGATCTGTTGAATGAGAAGCTGATATCATATTTGCTATTGATTAATGCTGAGAATAAAAATCTTCTTCAAATTCAACCAACAGAATCACTTGACAAATAAATCCCAGGTCCAAAATTGAGAACATAATAATAACGTCATATGAATTATGATTAAGAGAAGCACCGTACAAATCACAGTACGTAGTTCCATGTGACATGTAAACTGTAATAACATCATTTGACTTACAATGCAAAGAAAATATCCTTTTTCAGTGCTTCGTAGTTTAGCGCCAGATTCAGCTACCAACCTAAAAGAAACTTTAAAAGGAGACTCCTCAATAATTTGGGGTCTCGCACACGAGAACAACAGTTTGTTTCCTTACTAATTTTCTTTTCATTTTTGAGAGATCTATTTTCTTAATTTAGCAAATCTCACACTTCTTTTTAATCAATAATTAATATTAATAATAGTAAACATCCAAATTTTACATTCAAATCCTCATAAAATATTCATCCATATCAAAAGTTTCATATACAGTGTAAACTTACATAATAACTAAGATGAAAAGTTAAGGATTAGTAATCCTTTTTAAAAATCAAATGGATTCAATCTTATATATACGCAAGGAATGTAATAAAAAAAGAAAAAAGATGAGTTCTTCTTATGACCTCCCCTTCTATGCGCTGCAGTAATCATTCATCTAACATTACGACTTTTACCATAACGATGTTGTTTATAGATCAAATTATTTCGTGAATTGGATTTCATTTGATTGTCAACGGCTCTATTACGTGTGCTTGAGGTAGAAGTTTTGTATAAATGTATCGTCATTCCATTAAGTATTTTGATTTAAGTTCTTTTCTTTCTAAGAGGTGGAATAAAATAACCGGTTGAAGAAAAATATGAACACTATGAATGAAAAGACACCTCCTTCATGATTTAAACTATTGATGGAAAATATCACTTAGGTCCATCAAGAATCCTAGGCTCCGTTTGGTTCAAGATTGGGAATACTACTCTTGATATTCCCAAAAAAGTTAAATAGTAAAATACCCAAAATCTCTCATTTTTGGGAATACTATTTTCAATATTATTTAATTTTTTTTAAACCCTCTAAATTTGTTAATTTAATTAAATACCCCTAAATATTTTTTTTAAATTANTTAAAAGCATGGGAGTCACCACTCCCTCTGCATCAATACTTGACCATCAATTCACAATCAGTCAAAGCCGTCCTTTCCGCTGGAACCACTCCTATCACGCCTGACATTATCCGGCTAATACCATCTTTGGGAATCATCGTCACCACAAGCGCTGGCCTAAACCACATCGACCTGCAAGAGTGTAGACGCCGCCAAATATCCATTGCCACTGCTGGAACCTTGTATTCTGAAGATGCTGCAGATCTGGCGGTTGGACTGCTCATCGATGTATTCAGAAAGATTTCAACTGCTGATCGATATGTAAGACGCGGGCTTTGGGCTAGTCAACGGGATTATCAGTTTCCTCTTGGTTCTAAGGTTCTCTTTTGCATCTCTATTAACTCTTGTCTGTTGGGGGAAATAGTTTCTGTGATAATTTTATTCAGAAACTTTTAAGATTTTTGCTAGAATTTGTACTACTTACTCAAACGCTTGTGATTGAGTTTGTAATCAATAACTTGAACTTGATACTTCAATTTGATCCAAAAACAAGTAAAAAGTCCAACATTAACATCTATAGCTAACTTTGTGTACTATGTTGTAATGTTAAAGATGTAAATATGGAATATCAGAACTTTCAGACCCTTGATAAATCATTAACAATTAATCTCCTAACACTTTATGATGTTCATAATTGGAATTTCAGTTGGGAGGCAAGCAAGTTGGCATTGTTGGATTGGGAAGCATTGGCTTAAATGTGGCAAAAAGACTGGAGGCTTTCGGCTGCAATATATTGTACAACTCGAGGAAAAAAAAGCCATCAGTTCCATATCCATATTATCCAGATGTTTGTGATCTGGCGACTCATTGTGATGTTCTCATCATTTGTTGCGGATTAACTGATGAAACCCGCCATATGATTAACAAGAAAGTCTTATTGGAATTGGGGAAGGAAGGAGTCATTATTAACGTTGGACGTGGGGCTGTCATTGATGAGAAGGAGATGGTAGAGTGTTTGTTGCAAGAAGAGATAGCAGGTGCTGGTTTGGATGTGTTTGAGAACGAGCCTAATGTTCCTAAAGAGCTATTTTCATTAGAAAATGTTGTGTTGTCACCACATAGAGCTGTCCATTCAGAGGAAACATTAATGGCTTTGTGTGACCTTGTGGTGGGGAATTTTGAAGCTTTCTTCTCAAATAAACCCTTACTTAGCCCATTGGTGGAAGATTGAATGTTGGATTTCTGTCTGGAAGATACTTCCTTTTGTCTTGCTCTCACAAAGTACTGTAATTGGCAAAATGACAGCGTCATATTAATTATTTCTTGCTGAACTGATTTCCATGAATGACATCCATGACATAGTTTTAGTAGTTATAAACCAAATTTGCATTATTCCTCTCAAAATTCCCAACCCTTTCTTTTTCCATTTGATTGTTTCCCCTGGGATAATTCACATAGAAAGTTATCCAATAACAGAGCATTGGTAATTTTGTTTAATCCCATCTCATGATCCAACACACTAATTTTGGAGTGACGTGATTAACACGTTTATACTCTTTAGCATGCGTTTATTGAATATTGGGGAGGATGGTCGGTCATGTGTGCTTATAAATACAACCCTATCCATTGAGTTCCTTGACTCATCTACAGAGATTCTCTATTCATCTTCTTTGGTTTCAGCATCCAGGCCCTGTAAACCATCAATGGAAAATCATAATCACGAAGCAAAAACAAACCAAAATTACTTGTGCAATAGCCTCCCACAAGTTTTAGTTCTTGAACCACCACCAGTATTCAAATTTCATGGTGACCAACTGTCAAAAAGATTCCACTTCTTGAAAGCATGGGAGTCACCACTCCCTCTGCACCAATACTTGACCATCCATTCACAATCAGTCCAAGCCCTACTTTCCTCTGGAAGAAATCCTATCACGTCTGAAATTATCCAGCTACTACCGTCTTTGGGAATCATCGTCACCCCAAGCGCTGGCCTAAACCACATCGACCTGCAAGAGTGTAGACGCCGCCAAATATCCATTGTCACTGCTGGAACCTTGTATTCTGAAGATGTTGCAGATCTGGCTGTTGGGCTGCTCATTGATGTATTCAGAAAGATTTCAACTGCTGATCGATATGTAAGACACGGGCTTTGGGCTAGTCAACCGGATTATCAGTTTCCTCTTGGTTCTAAGGTTCTCTTTTACATCTCTATTTACTCTTGTCTGTTGAGGGAAAGTATTTCTGTGATAAATTTTACTGAACAAAACTTTAGAATTTTTACTGCAGTTTGTAGTGGGTATTAGTTTCAGACGGTTGAAGAAATTGGCCATTTAGTAAATTAAATAATCTAGCATTTTTATTCTAAAATCATTTATCAACACTTTTTGAAGTTCATAATTGGAATTTCAGTTGGGAGGCAAGCAAGTTGGCATTGTTGGATTGGGAAGCATTGGCTTAAATGTGGCAAAAAGGCTGGAGGCTTTCGGCTGCAATATTTTGTACAACTCTAGGCAAAAGAGGCCATCTATTCCATATCCATATTATTCAGATGTTTGTGATCTTGCGGCTCATTGTGATGTTCTCATCATTTGTTGCGGATTAACTGATGAAACCCGCCATATGATTAACAAGGAAGTCTTACTGGCATTGGGGAAGAAAGGAGTCATTATTAACGTTGGACGTGGGCCTATCATTGATGAGAAGGAAATGGTAAGAGTGTTTGGTGCAAGGAGAGATAGCAGGTGCTGGTTTGGATGTGTTTGAGAATGAGCCTTGTGTTCCTAAAGAGCTCGTTCAATTAGACAATGTTGTATTGTCACCACATAAAGCTGTCCATTCAGAGGAAACATTAATGGCTTTGTGTGACATTGTGGTGGGGAATTTTGAAGCTTTCTTCTCAAAGAAACCGTTACTTACGCCATTGGTGGATTATTGAATGTTGGGTTTCTGTCTGGAAGTTATTTTTTCCTCCATTCTTATTTGAAAGCTTTGTTTCCTTTTGTATGTGGAAGTGAGAGTATTAAATTGCTCTCACATAAAACAAGCAGTGGTCATAAGTACTGTAACGGCAATTTGAAAGCATCATGTTAAGAAAATTATTTCTTGCTGAACTGATTTCCATGAATGAGCCAATCTAGCATCATTCCTCTCAAAATTTCCCCCTGCTTTTTCCATTTTGATTGTTTCCCCTGGGACTATTCATATAGAAATTTTCCAATCACAGAGTATTGGTAATTTTGTTTCATCCCATCACTGTGATCCAACTCAATATATATTTTTGGAGTGACTGCTCGGTACTAAGAGAGCTGATGAAATAGAAGAGGAAATGAGACGATTAACACAAAAAAAAAAAAAAATGTTGTTTTATGATCATTTGGCAGTTTCTTCTGTGTGCGCCATAACTGAACCTGCTTTTCCCTTAATTATAGTGTCAAAAACAATTTTCTTTTTAATCTAGCATACTTCTGCGACGGAGTAGCTTGGGAAAATCATTTATCTTCTTTAATGTCCTTGAAGACAACTCACTAGTGGAAATATCCACCATTTTCTTTGGAAGTATACTAGGAGGTTGCTGCGGATTGGACCTATTGAACTGATCAGCTTTTATTTGATTTTGTCCTGTTTGATTGGGTGTTGCGTCTATGGCGATCAAAATTCTTTAAAAGAATGAAAGAACGCAAATGAGAGAGATTACAGTTGGCGAATTATGACTTGTGACCTCTGATAGAAGAACTGAATTATAATGTATTAAGCGCTTTTTTTTTTTTTTTTTTCCTTTTTCAGGTGATAGGCGTCCGGCCAGTTTGTGTGGTTATTCAGTACCCTTTTCAATAATACGTCTAATAATTTCTCTCCTATCACTTTCCTTCTTCTTGTTGCTGTATATCTCGTTGGTACGCATCTTCTCTTTGTTTCCAGAGCCTATAGTGAGTTACAGACCGAGAGCCTATAATGAGTTACAGACCGAGTTTAAAAAGATCTCAAATTTTTGATGATTTTATTCCCTCTCCCCCACCTCCAGGTCCATGAGATTTTTTTAAATAGATTTACAAAAATACTATTAGACCTACAAAAGTTTATAATTTTTTATCTAAACCGGTCCAAAGAGCCCCAAACAAGCCAAAAAGGCATAAATTCATTATACTTTTTTTACATAAATTTACAAAAAATTATGTTTCATATTTTCCATTTACACCCCTAAATTAACTAAACTAGCTATATAAATGTCTAAAATTTCAAAACACCCATTCAATCCCTAAAATAATGAAAACATTGCATCTCTACCCCTCTACATCGCCATAGTGTCGCTGTTGGCATTAAAGTGATGATTCTGATCAATTTTCTCACCAAAATTGATCAGATTCATCACTTAATCATTTCCAAAACGTTTTTTCAGCATTGACAACCCCCAATTTAGCTGATTTTTGTTGATTTTCGCAACCCATTTTCATTTTTCATTGCGTGCGATAGCCATTTCTGGCATGTATCCGCTGTCGTTGACCTTCCCCAACACCACCATCTTCCTCCCCTTAGCCCCCTTCCCAAAACCCCTCACTTACCTGACCCTAGTAGCCCGTCGTCCATCACTCGCCCTCACAAGAAAAATTAGGTAATTTGACTATATTGTCAATTAAAAAAGATTTGGTTTCCAAACTTGAATATAAAAATTTAATTAATGATTTTGAATCTCAAAAGGCAAGAAAAATAATTTTAAAATAATTTTTTAATATATATTCATATTATTGAAAGGGTTTCAAAATAACTCTTATTTAGGGTCATAAATATTATTGAGACGACCCTGATTGAGTTGCTAAAACTTCTGGATAAGTATTCCACATCATAACTAAATTTTTTTTAGTTAAAAAATATCATTCTAGTTGCTGAAACTATTAGGTTATGCAATAGAAGAAATATGGGGTTTTGCTTTTGGCGGCAATATGCTATGGGTTGGTGGTCAAATTTCTGTGGTTAAATCAATCAATTTCATCAAATCATCAATCTCATAAATATTATATCAAATCTTATCAATCAAATCACTTTTTCTAAAAATATGGAACATCTAAGTCATACAAGTAAAAGGATGTATTCATTGATGAGAAAAAAAAAAAAAAAAGTTAGAACGGTGATTGGATTTATGATAAAATAGAATCTGGGTCGCGAAGAGACGCAGTGGTGGTTAAGACTTATGATGTCATGTTTCCCTACAAAGAATTTTGGACAAAAAAAAAACCAAAAAAAATTCGTCCATATTTGGAAGTAAGAAGACCGAGATACCCTTCATTAAGCCACACTAAAAATCTTTCCTCTTTACTCGCGATTGAAACATCCAAAAACCGGAGATACTTTTTTCGGCCTGCACACCACTTAATTGTTTCAACAGCCTAGTTAATGCCAAAAAGAAAAAAAAATAAAAGTAAAAAGTAAATAAATTAAAAATAATAATAATACGCCAAGAAAACTGCTGTGCAAAAAATACTTACTAATATCAGCAGTCAGCACCACCATCAAAGTTTGACAAACATTAGGCATCAAAGTTTGACAAACATTAGGTATTAAGTGTTAAAAACTTAAATTATCTCTAAGAGATATTTTATATTAATTATATCCTATTTTAATATAAGAATTAAAAAGTGGTCTTTATATATCAAAATAACTTACAAAAATATTTATTGGATTGACTTTAAAGACATAAATAAACATATTTTTTTCGTGAAAAAAAGACTATTAGATATATGAGAACTATATAAATATTTAAACTTTATTATATTTTCTTTGAAAATAAAACATTTTTCTATTTTTATATACTTTATAGGTAATATCAACAAAATAATTAAAAAATAATAAAATAAAAATCGCTCGTACCAACCTATTATTTACTTATGTTTTTACAAATATATACTATAATCTATAAAGTCTTCTGGTACGTAATTTCTAAGAACAATCAGCACTTTACATAGGAGTCATTAGGTGTCCAAATCAAACGTCACCATAAACCAATCAAACGTCCTCCGTTCTCCGTGTGCTTCGCAATCACGCATTGCGTGGGATAAAGGTGGTTTGGTGGAATAACGAAGATCATCATCAATAATGGAAATTGGCGAAGATCTCCCACCCAAAGATCTGCCAGAAGTCCTAGTGATTAAACCTCCACCGCCCATGATCCTTTTCGGGGACGAATTCATTGCAAAGAAATTCAAAATCCTGAAAGCATGGGAGTCACCACTCCCTCTA